CTTCTGAAGCTCTCCAGCTTCGGAATCGCTGTCGTCTGCGCCTATAGATAGGCAATACACTTATCAGATAGTTTGCTGGCGAGCCATTCCTGACAGTCTTGGTGTAGGCGTTGATAATATACCTCGCTATTCTCTACCGACTCTCCGGGCATATATAGCGTACCTAATACGTCAATAACTCTACGCACTGATGGCCGAGAGCACAATCTTCCTTAGATACCGTAGAGGTATGCAAGCATTTTGAAGATAATTACCCGTTTACGCTTAGATGTATGACTTTCCTCCTATAGCTTGCTTACTAGAGAGACCATACATTGTATTAAGGCTTACTGTAACTCACGGTCTATAGTAATCCTACTTTGATCTACTTCCTTTCAAACTTTTGCCCTGCTCGTAGATTTTCCTTCGAAAACTCTCTCTTTTACCTTTGAGACTTTTCAGTTTCGGGATTTCCCTCCAGTTTCTGTTATTTTCCCACCCTCGTGCGTCGCCGTCTCAATTTTTATCTCCTTTGTAGAAAGTGTCATTCATTGCTCCTAGGAATCTATGGTTTATATTTTCCACTGGCCGAAAGACACTTCCTGACATCGCACCTTCCGTTATTCTCTCATCTTTTGCCTTGCTTTTACTTTTTCTTACTAAGATAGATGGTCGTCGCTCTCTGACACACAGAGTTACAGTACATTAACCGATATGTGCTAACCAGCACACCTAGAACGGACTGTTATCCCTTGGGTCGGCTCTCTGAAGCCAGCACCACGGCGATATCTCTCTTCCTACCATCCCTTTGGGCTTCCCCCCTCTCTTCTAGTCCGTCTACGTGGATGTCTCCCTATACCGACTGATCCTGATGGTGCCGGTGTCTCAAACTGAGCACCTGTCAATGGAGTATTTTGATAAGGATGATATTTGGGAGGTGACGCAGGTGGTCACGCATGCGTCCGTACCTCCCGCCGGCAAAGGCCGTTACTTGCTGACAGGATGTAGAGATGGATTTGTTTCATACCACGGCGGTCGCGTTGTTCGCAGGTGGACGTACACGCATCCCACCCCCAGTCATTTGTTCGATCTCGGGGACTGTAAAATTAAACCGAGCTGCGTCGCCCTCGATGCCACGGTATGTTATTTTGGTTATCCCAACGGAGTAGTCTACGGTTATCGCCTATGCGCGGATTCGCAGGAGAGTACGAAGCCGATATCATGTGGCCAGTTGAGAGGAGAAGTGACACATTTGAGTGTATCTGAGCAATATTTAATTGCCTGTAGTCTGCAGGAGATCCAAGTGGGAAACAAATCCCAGGAATTTATCCAATTGAGGCCGCTATTGGCACCTTTTGTGGACAACGGGGTGAAAATTCAAAAGGCGCGCATCTTACGGCAGCGTGGCGACGTCTATCTTTTGGTTGCTGGTGTCGATGCACAACAGCAATTGCATGTTCTTACGCGACCACGGCAACATCTTACGTCGTCGTCCGCTTGGGCTCTGTTATGCCAGACTTCTGAGAATGATCGCGGAGGTGAAAAGATCCCGGGCGAGATCGTCACATGGCATCCTTCGGGGCGGGTGAAGTGGGCTCACCGAGTCAATACGGTCCTGGATATACGATTCGATGGACGACTTCTGGTGTGTGATAGGGATGGCACTCCGTGGTGTCTTGATATGAAGACACGCTTTGTCACGATGTACGGCGGCGCAAACGCCAACCTGCACATTGACTCCACCTCCGACGAGTGTTACCCGAAGGTAGTTGTCTGCTCAAAGGTTGAACAGAACCAGGGAATCTACTTTCGGAGCGGCCTACGCCTGATGCAGTTACCAAACGAAATTCTACAGCAGATTAGTCAGTACATCGAGATAATAACTCCGGGCGATGAACAAAGGACCATTCAGTGCGTCCACAGTCTGCGTCAGACGTGTAGGTACTGGAACGACTTACTCTACCTTTTCCAGTGGGCCCGTGTGAAATCTCGTGAATTCAAAGCCCTGAATTTTACGACCACTCGTGGATCCACAGCCCTGCAAGTTCATTTGCTAGACAACCACGTGTTTGACTTTCACTCCCAGCAAAGACTCCTCTTTGATTTGGGTCTGCTCCAAGGACTGAAATCTCTCGGGATACACGACAGCGGGAACAAAGGTATCCTGAGTAGATATCTGGCGCCCCTTATTGCCAAACTCGTCAAGTTGGAACAATTTACCGCTACCTCCGTCAACTTGGAGGGAATTGAGGCGCCAATTCAGAGCAAGAGCCTACAATGCGTATCTCTTTCCATTGGCGACATTTCCACGGACGAGGAATACTACTGCGTCGCTCTGTTGGATTTGGACGAGCTACCGCGACTCGAAGACCTCACACTATGGAGTCAGCAATTCCCCCGGCTAATAGGGACTTCGGATAGTGTCAAAAGATTATCCGTTTGGAACGCGCGTTGTAAACCGGAGGACTTTGCGCCATTCCATCGTTCATTGGAATTGCTTTTGTTATTCTGTGTCGAGGAATGTCCATGGGCGGAGTTCCGGCATTTAAGAAAAGTTATAGCTTTGTGTTGCCCGGATTTTCCCCTCCAACAGTGGAAAACAGGTGGCATAGAAGCCACCAGCGTCTAGAGATAATCTGGAGATTGGAGTCAATATAGGACCTGTTCTTTGAGGCCAATAGATCCCCAGTCATTCTCTCCTATTGGTAGACTACTCAGTCGGGGTCGGTGGCAAGATACCATTTGACCAGGTTTACCATCTCAATTTCTCAAAGTCTTTTCCCCCGCACGGAAAAGAGGGGCTACGCGAAAAATCGCTCCAGGCTCATTGACTTTCAGCAGCCATACTTTGTGGCAACACGATATGTAATTAAAATTGCAGGAGACATATCGACAGTCGTTGACTCGTTGCCCGATCTTGTGCAATAACAATAGATAAAAATTATGTACCCAAGGTTCAGTGCTCCGTCAGCTTGATCGCTACGTGGCGCATCGTGCTGTCTTAGCCGTCGTTCTTCGCCTTAAACGGGCACACGACCACCCTGGCCTTAGCATCAACTTATCCGAGAATTCAAAGTGATCATACTAGGCTTTCAATGATCTTCGTGGTTAGCGAGACTGTGTGGCTATATCCTCCAGTCGTCTGCAATTGCGCCTTCACCTTCGCAGACACACTCGAATTAATTGGCTCTGTAAAAATTGTAGGAAACCTACCAACTTTTTTAAGGCCTCGATTTATTGGAGCTGCTTGCGCAATCTACTCATCGACCGCCCCATACCCAAATTACTGTTGCGAATGGAACAATATCAAGTACTCGTAGCTACAACAGGTAGATACGCCACAAAAGCACGAGTCACCGGTGCGAAACCTCGAACTCAAGCTACTCAAACGTCAAGGCTTCCAGGCCTAGAGACAATATCAGCCTTGTTGATGCTGAGATCATGCCAGGTACAACTCAAGGTTACAGTAGTAGCCAAAGGCAGAGCTCGAAGGATTCTCAATTAAGAGATCCCACAATACAGCTCCGAGATAAAGGCACCGCGATAACACTTGGGTAGTGAATGGCAATGCAAGAACGAGAGAAGCAGAATCTTGAAGAGCATGTCACTGAAGTTCTTCCGAGAGGTTGAGCACTTGGTTCCCACCGCATAACTCTGAAGCCACAGCGTCGCCATGCCAAGTGCATCAGCGCATCAATCCACCAGGGAGTGGGTCGTCATCCAGGGGAAAACGCCCGAATGGAGCGGAGGGACCAGTTTACCTAGTTGTATACCGTATTAGTGACCATTGATTATTCCTAGGCCGCTTTTGATATCATATTGACTTACAGTATATGAGAAAGTACCAGGGCGTGTGTAACACAGCTCGATCGAGATCCCCGCCATTCGCTCTTCGTGCGTGTAGCCCTTCCTACGCCAATCACCTAAATCGCAGTGTACTTCCTAGTCAACACACTGAGCCACGTGAACTCTCTACAAGCACCCATCGACGACGATAATGATGGTAAAGTATCCCACTGGGGGAATTAGTTTTGCTATATCGGAATTGTAATTATCGACTCGTCAGCGTCCTATTTCCCTACGCAATGTGTACCTTTATCGACAAGCTGGGAACCTCATCTGACCCCTACGATCCAAGATACATCGGGAAGCTCTAGTGAGAGCGCCACCACCGACCTCTCAATAAACATTGGCTCACTGGGGCAAAGCCCTCCCTACCGTTCAAAACCTTTCTTGACTCTCCGATGTCCGGAAGACCGGCTCATGGATATCCGGTAGGTCTGGCGCTTGCCACGACCGGTCTTCGACGACTTCGCACATAGCAACCCCTTCCTTCTCAGAGTCGGGACACGACATAATGCAAAACCGATCGGACATGTGCCCCCCCGACACGTAATGTGCGGCGGGGGAGATGTTTTGAATGATAGTAGCGCAGCGAGCTGCGAGGTGCAGCTGCCAACACTTTCCGTCAGTGGTGTGGACCACCACCTCCCCGTCCTCCGTCAGATCTCGCACCGCTTGGACCTTGTAGTCCCACTGAACATGGCCCGAAAGCTTCCATATCAATTCCTGACTGTCAGCTTGATAGTGCACGGTACTCTGGGGGAGCAGACCCCACTCAAAATGTAGACGGCGGAGATCGTCCCATTTCAGGGTGGCGGCCCACAAGGTTTGGTTCGAGGCTACGCCAACGACCATCAAGTAATTTACCCACTGTGCGTGGACTACCCGAGCCATTTGGATTTCGATGCTCAAATCGGTCCCTTCAAGACATAAATGCCTCTGTGCGCCGGACACTGGGTCCAAAAGGATAACCTCCCGGCCGCTACAAGTCATGAGATAATCCTCGTACCTACTGAGATAATTGATGGCCGTGCCCTGGGTTTGAAACGCAGGATGACACTGTCTTGCTAGCAAGCTAGACCCATGGTTGCCAGACTCAAGATCACCCTGTCTTGCTGCCAAGCCACACTCCTGAGCCTTAGCGAGCTCTATACTTCTCACACAGCCGGATTCGCCTCCCACGTGGATCATACCGTCGGCATATATCGCACAACGTGGAGTATCATGTTGCAGTGCCAACTTGAGCAGCGGCCGATCTACGAGCCCCCAGACCCAGAGGCAGATGATATGATTAGAATGGATTGACATAAATGCCTTCCTTGGATACTGTTGAGGGCCAACCGTTGTTGCCGACCCAAAGTCCTGGTGAACAGAGAGATATATCAATTTCGTATCCTTGAACGACGGGTTCCCGTATAGATTTCTTTTCTGCAGGAAGATCGGCATCTTCTCACAAAGCCCTAGCCGAGCCCGACGTCTGGATCGAGATAGGTGATGTGTGCTGATCCGGAGCCGCGATTCCGCTCGCTATTTGGATGGCGGCGGCAATGCGACAAAGAAAAAAAGGAGCGAAACAAATGGTGGGCGTGGGAGCTAGAGATGGGATCTACCCAGTGACTGGGAAGGACCTTTGATCTTGGTGTACGCCTCTAGGAAGAGGATCGCTGGAGGGTGACTTATAGGGATACGAATAGTATTTGTACAACGAAGGGATGGCCGGCGAGGGAAGATCAGTTGCGGGGATGAGGGTCTCTTTAGATTACGATCGATCCGTAGATTCACTACTATTCATCAGATCAGACTTTTCGAAGTAATAATATTTTGTGAGACTGGAGGGTTCAGGTCAAATTATTTTCGTACATACGTTGTATCCGTTAGAGGGTTTTGAACTCGGTCGGATACTAGGACCGTCCCCCAGAAAGCCACTCTAGAGAACAAAGACCAGTGGAATGAGAAAAAGGGAAGACGGGGCAATGAACTGGCACTCGTAACCGAGTATAATTTTGACATCCCCTACTGTGCTAGACTACATGGAAAGGGCGTCGCTATCCAGCCCACGGTTTACCTATCTGTCGTTCAGATTTGTATGGTCGTCTTTACAGGGAGAAGTCCATTCCTTATTTCCAGCTGAACTCTAACCCCCCTTAGCACTTGGAAAGGCCCAAAAAAAAAGAGGGGAAAAAAAAGCAAGACAGTAAAGAAAGAAAAATGGAATTTATCCAACGCAGTTACAGTTTTCTAGAAGAGGCTACCGGAAGTGCCCCAAAGACCCCTTGTCAGGGATGGCTCGCCAGTAAACTATCTGATAAGTGTATCGCCTATCTATAGGCGCAGATCGACAGCAATTCCGAAGCTGGAGGGCTTCAGAAGGTAGTCCGCGACCCGTACGCTTATACATCTAGTCCCCGAGAGCCTTGGCACCCCTTATTCATCATATAATTTAAACACACTACTACCATTCAGTACACATAGCCCCCCTGGGCGTCTATTACAGCCTGACAGCGCAGTGGCATAGTATCTACTAGGTCTTCCAGGGTGTCCTCTCCTATCGCATCCTAAGCCTTCCATCGTTCGTAGGTATACTGAACAGCGCGTTCCGTTATACCAGGTAAGGTCCCCATACCACCCTACGAGATCACAAACCCAATCCTGAAGTCATCCCTGTAGTTGTCCAGAAAGCTATTTGGCCTTTGCGCCGCTAATTCCTGACCGCACCCTTACACGATGGAACGATACCACCCACAACGACACTTCTTACGGCTCCTCATGAGTTACTATCCGTTCGATGAGTGGTCAACAGATCTCTCAGCTTCGTGACTCGGATATGTGCCGGGAGCCTTTCAGAGTCAGGATTCTCCATCTTATCCGCCCGTGTCATGGACGCCCGGGCTTCGTCAAGAAGCCTTCGAATGGCTTCAGCTAACTCGCGGAGCTTCTCCCT